CCCCAACCCCCCACCCCCAAAAAAAATATTTAAGTTTGTTTTTAAAAAATGTTTTCAATTTCAAAAATTATTTTCTACTCTAGTAAAAATAAAAGATATTTCTCAAAAATATTTTTCATTCATAAATCAAACACTAAAAATCTTTTCCGAAAAATATTTTCTACTCACCAACCAAACATGAGAAAATAAGTCAAAAATCAACTTGTTTTCCAAGAAAACATTTTCTAGGAAAACATTTTCCATGGAAAACATTTTCCTTCATACCAAACACACCCTTTATTTCATGGTGAAAAATTCTGTTACAAATGATGAAGGTCAAAGCCTTTATAGATGTAGATAGGAAGCATCTAGAAGAATCACATTTGAGCTAACCAACTAACTGAATTGCCAGCTCACATGTATTCCTAACAGCTTATAACTAACATGTATTAACCACTTAATGGAAAACTAATGTAACAGTAAAATACAGTAGTTAACAGTAAAATGTAGTAGTGCAGCAATGAATCAACTTATATTTGAACAATTATCAACAACCCAACTCTCAAAACTTACGTAGAGTGATTAGTACTTTCTTGACGTTCTTCAGAGTCTTACCTAATGTATAAGAATTGGTCGCAGAAAGATTTTGGAATTGGTGATAGACATCTTGACTAAACTTTTAGTTGTTGGGTAACCATTTGCGAAATTTACCAATATTGAATACAAACATTTAGCATCCACAAAGGAAAATCTTACATATGACAAAGCAAATACAACTATAAATGGGACTTTATCAAAATAGGTACATTTTGTAGATCCAGATGATCAAACTCCAATTCAGTTTAATAATGACATCGACGCACACTAAACAAAAAAGTCATAACACGCCACTGGGAAATCACATTGTAAATACTTGACAACTATTGCTTTGGGTGATGCTCGAGTAATGCAGCTTAGCAGTTCCCTCAAATTTTCCCTATAGTTTGTGACATGTCCTGATTTCTCGCACTGTTCAATGATAATCCTCTCAAGTTTTGGAGAATGAGAAAACATCACTCTTATTAAGTACATTTCAGTACTTGATCCCTTGAGTTTCCGAAACCTCACTGTTTGAATCAATCTCAGAGCTTCATTCACACGGTCTTTTTCCATTGATAAGTAAGATAACAGCTCCGTTCTCTGATTCAATGTCTCATCAACCTAAAGAAAAAGTCTCATGATAGTCAACCTACATTACCAGAATTATACAAAGTGTAACAATAAATCTTGACGGCAATATGAAAGTTCTTAAGATTTCAAATAAATATACAAAGATGTATATACATAAAAATGTCCTTATTAGGCATGATATGTTTTACCTTTACAACCTCGTCTATTTCAATTTCAGAAAGGTTAGGAGAACTCCTAAGTAGGCAAACTGCACAAGCAATACTTTCAACTGAAATCTTAAAGTCGCAAATTTTCAGGCTTTGCAATTTTAGTGGTTGAAAAAGCTTGTCTTCCACATACGCCAAGCAAAGTTTCTGAAACAACCAATGACAAAGAAATGAAGTTATGGAGTGTTAGTAAGAGCATCTACGAATGAAAAACAAAGTAACGTTATTTTCTTACCTCTAGGGAAGTTCCATTCAAGCAGAGGTGCTTAATGATAGTAAAGATTGGGTTCACACTAAAACACCGAAATGTAATTGTATAGCTGCTAATGATAGACAAGTTCTCAAGTTTTGGAGAAACCAAATAAACAGAATCAACATCAACACAAAATCTCAACTCCATAGTCTCGAGAACTGGCAAATTAAGATTGTTTTCTAATCCTCGATGACCGGCAATTTTAGAATGTTCTAACTGAAGGGTAATAAGATTGGGAAATTGGGTACCATCCGGAAGCATAAAGATACACCTTGAGAGATTCAAATGTGTCAACGTTGCACAAGTAAATATGCTATCAGGCAACACATATTTTTCATCGTTGGCCATTTTTAGAGTGAGCTTTTGGATACCATGATTCGAGGCAAAGATGATGAATTGATTCACATCGGACTGTGTTAAAGTGTCTGCCTCGGAGATGAGATGGAATCCCAGAATATCTCCAGTATGTTTCAAGAGAATTTTATGAATTACACTTGCAGCAGAATCCTTAGTATTAGATACATACTGAAAAAACAGTGGATCGAACACAAGATTAGGTTGTGTAGACCATAACTGTCTCCAAAGTTTTGATAAGATGCTAGATCTTGCAGCATATTTGATGGGCATAAGTTCTAGTATTCTATGTAGTGCAACAATCGGTGATTCAGAAATAATAGAGTTGCTCAGATCTCTAGCTGACTTGCTTCTAGTACATGGGCTCATACTTAATTTTTCTCTGAAATATTTTACAAACAAAAATTGTTATTTGCTTCAACATGAATTGTGGAGTCTATTAATAGTTGTCTTACTAGTAGTAGTGAACAGTTTTAAAGTTGGAAGGAAACCAATGGGCATTATTATTGAGTTCTTCAAAAGACTTTTTGTTGAACTTCCCATGCCTGTTTGTTCCCAATAAATGCATTCACATTGCAAAATCAATGATTAGTTATGTTGGAATGTATGCGTCCACGTTTTCTATGGGACCAGGTCCTCAGCACAGTTACAATAACAGAAAATAAACAAAGTGCTGAAAGTAAAGATTGCACAACAACTTTACGTGGAAACCTCCTTGCTCAAGGGAGTAAAACCACGACCTGGCCTGCCAGGACTTTTCAAAACTTCTTTCACTAATCTTCTCAAGCAAAAGTAAAAGCAAGTTTACAAACCGAGATTAGCCTACTAATCCCAACTCTAAGCAAT